TAGTAAACTATATGAATTTGGAAAAACAAAATCACTTAAGATACTTATCTCCAAATGGATTTTTAAATATACTTAATGATTCATTTCTATTTAAACAGTATAGTTTAATTTCTAAGTTTTGTTAATTTTCCTTTAAAATAAATAATTGTGACATTTTTTGTGTGTGTTCATTCTCAGTTGTCAAATAAAGGAAACCGCAGTAGAACGATTCATGGTTCAATTAAAGAAACTCAGAGAAAAGAACCAAAAGTATCATGATCGAGTAAGTATAAAATTTAGTGCCTATTTTTGGTGTTGTTGTGAAGTGCCATCGAGTTGGTTCCAACCCATAGCGACCCTGTATAGGGTTTTCTAGGAGCAGCTGGTGAGCTTGAACTGCCTATACCTAGACATTAAAGAGTTACACAAATACTTCACATTTTTTCTAATTGTGACAAAATGTATTTAGATTATTTTCTTGAAATCTTGGAACTGGCTAATTTATAACCTATTTAAGTCTCTTTGAACTTGGATGCAAGAAGATACTGTTATTTCCATTGTATTAACAATAATATTAAAGGAAGCTTGATTGTTTTTTAGATCACTGTTGTTGTTGTTAAGCGCCATTAAGTCAGTTCTGACTCATAGCAACCCTGTATATGGTTTCTGAGGATCCGCTGGTGAATTTGAACTGCCGATCTTGAAGTCGAGTGCTTATCCTACAGTGCCACGCCAAGACTCCATTAAGATCATGAGGACATTGAGTTTTATGTTCAAAATTCTAAAACTCTGAAAACATATTTATCTTTTGAATTTTTGTTTCAACAAACTATAAAACAACGGCTCTTTGTGTTTAACCACTGCATCTTTTTGTGTTTAGATTTTCAAATAGTTTATATATGTAAGTTCCTTTTGAAAAGCACAATCCCAGTTATTAAAATGACTAATTGACTATTTAAGATGATATTTTATTTGAAAAATTTAGTTAAAATGGTCATTTAAAAGTGACAAGCTATGGACAACATTGCGAAGTATGAGTATTCCAGAACACTTAATTGTGCTCATGAGGAATCTTTACTTGGACCAAGAAGTAGTTGTTCGAACAGAACATGGGAACACTGAATGGTTTAAAATTTAAAAAGGTATGCAACAAGGTTGTATTCTTTCACCATACTTATTCAACCTGTATGCTGAGCAAATAATACGAG